CACGTGGCTCATGGCTTACTGGCATCTTCACATGCTGCTTGTCATGGCAGTGGCTGGCAGTGAATCCCTCTGTCTTCCTGTTCTCTCCTTTCTCCTCTCTGTTAGTCCCGCCTATACTTCCTGCCTGGCCACTGGCCAATCAGTGTTTTATTTATTGACCAATCAGAGCAATTTGACATACAGACCATCCCACCGCAATTATGTGTCTGGTTGGCCACTGTGCTGCCTAATTTTATGTCAACTTGACACACAAACTAGAGCTGTCTGAAAGGATGGAACCTCAACTGAGAAAATGCCTCCCTAAGATCTGGCTGTAAAGCATTTTCTTAATTAGTGATTGATGAAAGAGGGCCCAGTCCATTGTGGGTAGGACCACCCCTGGGCCGGTGGTCCTAAGTTCTATAAGAGCAGGCTGAGCAAACCAGAAGAAACAAGCCAGTAAGAAGTGCCTCTCGATAGCCTCTGTATCAGCTCCTGCCTCCAGGTTAGCCCTATGTGAGTTCCTGTCTGGACTTCCTTCAATGATGAACAGCAATATGGAAGTGTAAGCCAAATAAACCCTTTTCTCCCTAACTTGCTTTTCCGTCATGGTGTTTCGTTGCAGCAGTAGAAACCCTAAGAGCTAGAATGAATCCATACTTAGAGGCTCATCACTGGTGACAGTTTGAACATTCAGCAAGAAATACAGTCTGTGCAGCTAGACTCATGCTTAAGGTCTATTTTTGCCACTATAGCTGTTTGTTTCATGTTTCCATCGTTCCCACCCAAGAAGAGTTAAGGACAGAGGGCAGTTAACATCTGCACGCCAAGCTATCTTGTTCCTTTAGTGATTCAGAGGCTCTTTTGCAGTTAATGCTTTCTGATGAACATTAGCACTGAACATGAAGATCCTCCCTCATTTGGCGCTCATTAGCATAGGGCCATCTCTCTGTCTCTGTCCTGTACCCTTCATTCCTAGCCGACTAGTGGCCCTCTTTTTATTGCTATATGAAATTAACTTGGGGGCTGGAGAGATGGCTCAGCGGTGAAGAGCACTGGCTGCTCTTCCAGAGGACCCAGGTTCAGTTCATAAGAACCACATAGTAGCTCACAATGTCTGTAACTCACATTCTAGTGGATTCGACATCTTCATACAGATAGATAGATAGATAGATAGATAGATAGATAGATAGATAGATAGATAGATAGATAGATAGATAGATAGATAGATATGCAGGCAAAACACTGATGCACATAAAAAATGTTTTAAGGAAGAAAATAACTTGAGCCAGGGGGTGGTGGCGCACGCCTTCAATCCCAGCACTTGGGAGGCAGAGGCAAGTAGATCTCTGTGAGTCTGAGGCTAGCCTGGTCTACAGAGAGAGTTCCAGGACAGGCTCCAAAGCTACACAGAGGAAACCGTGTCTCAAAAAACCAAAACCAAAATAAACAAACAAGCAAAAACAAACTATTTCTTAAGTAGTTTGCTCCCTTCTCATTCTCTCAATCACTCCTGCTCTAAATGAGGGCATCATGGCACTTGAGGTTTCTAGGTTTCAACAGCATTATAGACAATGTATTTAGCAGTTCCCATATGTAGCATCTAAACTGGTCTTTAAAAGATGGGGTAATCTTTATTCCCAAATTCCAGTCACCTAGAGAAACAATGGTAAACTTTGAGAGAAAGAACTGGGGGAATCATTGCTATATATAGTTTCTATGCTATGGAAAGTCCTTTCCTAGTGAGAATTTTGTCTCTTCTCCATCCATTGAAGAAGTCTACATGTGAAAACTAGACCCAGCCTTATCAACTCTTAGTAAGAAAGGTGTCTGGCTAAGAGTCAGAACTTCTTCAGGCAGAGAGTGGAACCACAGTGAAGATTGGTTCATTAATTCTTTCATAGTGCTCTTGGGTTCCTGCATCAATATGTAAGTTGTTTGTCAGCAAATACCTACATATATTTGCATTCAATCTTTACTTCTGTTTGCATGTTTACACAAGTGTTCTGTTTCTTATCAGCTCCTTTTAGCCCTGGGTTGTCCCCACCACCACCCCATACACCTACTCTTCCGTGAGTGTAGCACTGCTTTGAAATTGAGTCCTATTCCATTGAATCCATGTCTCTCCTAATGACAGATAAGCAGTTTGCCTCACTTCATCATTACCAGAAACAATGGCACAATTCATATTTTTTAGATGTGAGAATTTCAGTGGCTTGTGTAATCAAGAGCATTTTTCTTGGGCTACATGGAAGAAATCCACTTAGTTTTACTAAATATCACGATCTCCAAACCGAATACACTCTAGCTACACTCCAATCAGGGCCTGAGGATCCCCTAATCCCCCACATTCCTACCCACAATTACCATTATCCAGATAGCTTAGAGTGATAATTACAACAGAGAAGTCTCATTTCTCTTTGAGCTTCTAATTATCAGTTGCTGGAATATTCTGACATATGACTCGTTACCTTTTAGAATTTTTTCCTCTCTAAATTATACCTTTAAACTCTTTGAATGTTTTCCCAAATTTCAGTGAAAATGGCACATCCCCAGAGTTCAACTTTCTCTTAGCTGGACTCTGAATATGTTCATGATTGCTCCAATACCAGAAGATAAGTGGGCCACAGTGGGTGGAGTCAGAGTCATCAGAGCTAATGGTCTTAGATGATTGCATCAAATATAGCTTACTCTTGCAAACATCCACAAAATGCATAATAATGGGGGGGGAGCCTGGGAGAGCTGTTCACCAGCCAAGTGAAGAGCCCAAGTTTTCTTTACTCCACAGTAAATTCACTGCTGGTTCTTAGACACATGAATCCAACTTGAGCTCACTATTTGGCTCCTCCAGACTATCGATCTGTTCTTGTACCCCAGCAGAGCCACACCAGGTTTATAGCCATGTTAGTGCTCTTGAACTTAGCAATAAGATTATATTCACTTATTTTTACGTAATTTTCAAAGCACCACTGAAAAATTGTTTCCAAATCTTCAATAACATTTTATATTTTATATTCAATTTAAATGCTATGGACTGCCCCCATGTTTTTCCTACCAGAGAATGAGTTCCCCTGACCAATTAATGGCATGCCCACCACACTGGCTACCTAAGAGCATGCAATCCATAAATACTGCACAAAAACCAATCGAAAGGACTTCTTGAACACAAATGTTGAGTTTTAACCATCATAAGCACAACAGCATGAACTCTGTAGCTAACGATACAGCCTGCTGGTCCAAGAGGAGAAAGAGCCTTTCACAAATTCCTACTCTAAAAGTCAGCCCTATTACTTAATTAAAAATTGGAAATTGGCTCAAGTCTGATGACCAGAGTTCGATTTCTGGGACCCATATAGTGGAAGGAGAAAGTTAGACTCCCTCAAGTTGTCCTCTGATAGTCATATGTACACCATAGCATGTGATGTCATGTATGTGTACACCCACAAAAATAAAATCAATGAATGTAATATAATTAACCAATGGTTGCTGGGAGAGGGAAAGTCAGTTTTCATAAGGGATTTGGCCCCTGAGAGTTATCCATACTCCAGTAGGTGGTCCTACACCCATGAACATTCAGGGAGCACTAAGGGGACTCAATGTATTTTCTCTTTGAAGGGCATGAAGTCAGTAGATAAAAAATGGTAGGAAGGAAGTAATTAAAAGGGAAGGGATGAGAGAATGGTTGCTTAAAACATATTATACCCATGTGCAAAATTCTCAAACTAAAAAATAAAGCAATATAAATACCAGTTACTTTATTGTACATGTATCACATTAACAGCTACTGATTGTTCCTTTGTAATATTACAATTCATGAGTTGAGGGAAGGGTGTTTAACATCACATTTTATATTTCAGATGTGATGGTTTTTATGGTGTGCGTGGTGTGTGTGTGTGTGTGTGTGTGTGTGTGTGTGTGTGTGTGTACACATTGCTGAAATTTGAGTGTTTTTCTTCCAATTTCCATGGCTAATGTGGTGGTATTAAAAGTGAATGAACTAGATGAGGTGGAGATGGTGAGGTTTAAGGACCTGGCTTCATGATTATGAAGTTTATGATAACCATAAAAAAACCTGAGCTTAATGTGAGGTGACCTCCTTTCTCCTCACCAACAATCTCTTATTTCAATTTTCTGAGTTGAGTGAGTACATACTGAAACTATCAACTTCATACATCTCTAGAGTCTCCATGACTTCTAAGATTCCAAGGCTCTTATAGAATGTGCAGGGACAGACAGGAAGAAGGGCCAGTGAAGAGTGTTCCCCAAATAATGATTACCTATTTCACGTTCATTTTTATGCTTTATTGACTCTGTTGCTGTGGAGTTCAGAGTCACTTGTTACACACATATACATCCTGCATGGTGAGAGGGGAAGGTCTTCTTGAGACACATAGTCCATTCAGTGAGTTGAGAACGGAGCAGAACCCCATATTCTGCTTCATGCCTAGAAGACTCCCTGGTGATGCCAGTGTTGTTGGTCACAGAATTCACTTTGAGAAACCCTGAAGAATACAAACAAAGCAGATCTGATTTTTAGCTTCTCTAGAGTCCACAGTCTTGCAGCTGACACAGACTTAGACGCTAATGACTCATATTCAAGGCATCAGAAAGTGAGTACAGGAGAGGAGGCTGGAGACGCAGGCTGCCCTGAGGTCTCAACAGATGATTAGTCATGTGAGTCATTGCCAGCATTTCACTTCAGATACTTTAAGAAGGATATATAAAAATCAGAAGGCTGGGCAAGACACCAGTCAATAAGTCACAAAATAAATTAAATTGTGCATTCTCAACTCCCGGGCTCTTCTCTTGCCTGTTTTTGCCCCACAGTTGGAGAACAATGTTGGCAACAAGCAGACATCTGTTTCTTGGTTGCAGAGAAAGCAGTAAAGAAACATGTCCTTCATAGATAAGTGCTGTAGGATGTCTTTCTGTATACTGTGTGGGTCCTACTGGATAATAAATAAAATTGTTTTGGCCTACGGCAAGAAATCGTATAGTCAGGTGGGAAATCCAAACAGAGAAGCAGAGAGAAGAAGGGGGAGTCGGGAGGGACACCAGCTCACCACCGAAGGAGCAACAAGATGCCAGCAGACCAGTAAAGCCATGACTATGTGGCAACATATAGATTAATAGAAATGGGTTAATTTAAGATGAAAGAGCCAGCTAGCAAGAAGCTCAAGCCATAGGCCATACAGTTTGTAATTAATATAAGCCTCTATGTAATTATTTTATAAGTGGCTGCGGGACCTCGGGTGGGAGAGATTCCTCCTAACTGTGGGGCCTGGTGGGACACAGAGAAACTTCCCTCTCCAGATAAGAAGACAAACAATGCTAGCTTCTTCCTGGTTTCTGCAAACATATTCTTACACTGGGTGGCTGTTCACCATGGCAGGGATGTCTCCTCACAGAAGTTAGTAAAACTATCAAGTCAGAACACTTTGGTTGTTGTCAGTCAGCCTGGTCTCTCTCATGTGTAGGTAGGTGTCTGGGTGTCAGCCTAGGGAAAAGACAAATGCAGGTCTGACCACACACTCAGCAGTGAACTGCTTTGGAAAAATCCTGGGCGTGTGGCAAGTTGTTTTTCCAGACTCTTAATAGATCAATAATGCCAATGTTATACCCTCAAAATGCCAGTTTAGGAACTTGGAAATCATTGCAACAAAACACTAAGTCACAGAACTGGATTTCAAGGTTGATCATTCTTATGTGTTCTTCAGGACACAGGACATTTGCATTTACAAATGTTCACAACCTTGTTGATGAAGAAGTCTTCTCTGGGTTTAGCTTAGATCTATCTGCTTATCAGAAAGGAAATTCTCAGTCTCGTCCCTTGTCTGCTTCTCAGAACCATTACAGTGGCAGTCTGCTCTACAGAGAGAATGGAGGTGAAGGAATCAGAAGGACATCAGGCTCAAGAATTTGGGTAACTTCTCTGAACAGTACGTTTTCACACATAAAACACAGATCGTCAAAAAATGATTACAGTTATCTTCTAGGATATCATAATGATTTAAAGAAGCAATTGTATATCAAAGACCTGTGGAAGTTGTAAACTGACAATGGTGATAACCAATATTTATTGGACAATCTTATGTGCCTGGAATTTTCCACTACTAATTCAGCACTCAAAATAATTCAATGAAATAGGATCATCATATTATAATAAGAAAACTTGAGCTAGGAAGGTTGAATACTTTGCCAGTGACCATTCTGCAATTAACAAGCCAAGCTAATATTTTGTTGGGGGGGGGTGCATGCTAGTGTGCACATGCAAGGACATGTGTGTTAGGTCAGAGGACACCTCTCTGGAGAGTTGGTTCTCTTCTGCCATCTTGAGGATCCAGAGGTCAACCTTACATCATCAGGTATATTTAGTAGTTCCTCTACTTTCTGAGCAATCTCAACAGTCTTATTGTTAATTTTTGAGTTTCAACATCCACTGTCCACTTATTGAATAAAAATCCATCTTTAAAATAACATTCATTTTTAACTGATAGATAAAAATCTCAAAACTGTAAGTGGCATATCTATATGACTATAGGTTAGAGTTAGGGTTAAGGGCTCACTTAGTACATCTATATGATGTTTTAACTTACACACAATATGTGTTTAAGCTAGACATACCTGTTTCCTCAATTATTTATCACTTTTATGGAGAATAAACATTCTAATTCCTTTCCTTCAGCTCTCTGAAACATAAAGAATGTGATCGGTATTTATAGCAACCTTACTATGCAATAGCACTCTAGAACTTTTGACTCTTAACTACAACTTAGTATCTATCACCCTTTGGCTATCTCTACCACCACCAACTCTTCCCAGCCTCTGGGAATCACTCTACTATTCCCAGTTTATATGAAATAAACTTCCTTAGGATCCACAGGTGAGTGAGAGTCTATACAATGCTCATCTTTCTGTGTCTGACTTATTTCATTTAGTATAATGATCTTCATTGGCATCCTTGCTATCACAGAGGGTAGGATTTCCTTTTGTGTCTGAATAATATTCTTAGTGGGTAGCTGTTTGAGCCATGCCCTGAAGCACCACCCCTAGTGAGGCAGCTGTAACTGTTACACCTGCCTATGACCTTGAGGTACCAGCCTCTGGGGCATGGCCACTGGGGACCCTTAAGACCTGAGATGCACATACACCTCTTCTTCTTGGCTACCTCATGGTCCTGTATGCTGAGATCTTGGACCAAGCCATTCAGCGTAGGACATAGTTCAGATTTCCTGGACCCTATGATAAAACTCCTGTGGTTGTGAGTTTACCCCCAAATAAATTACTTTGATCATTAAATAGACTTCATGGATTTATTTCATTATCTGGCACCCAATGTAGGGCAAACTCCGAAGGCCCAGGCGGCCTCCACCCTCAGCCTCTGTGGCTACAGTGGTGCACTTCCCATATTTCCCTGTCTCTTTTAAAATTCCCGCGCCTCCTGCCCCAGAGTCGCAGAGTCTGCTCTCCACTGCCCTAAGCTGTTTTATCTTGTTCACTGCTGAGGGGCTTAACGTGAGTGCTACCCATGTGGCCTGCAGCTTCCTCTTGCTCGCAGCCCACACTGTGCCGTGGACCAATGACATCAACAATATTCTACTGTGGGTATATAAGCCACATTTTCTTTATCATTTAATCAGCTGATGGACAGTTAGGTAGTTTCCAATTCTTCACTATTGTCAATAGTGCACACTGAACATGGACATGCAGACATCACTTCAGCAGACTGATTTCATTTCTTCTTGATACTGCTTACTCAGAAGTGGAGTTGCTAGGTCATATTAATGGCTCCATTTTTTTTTCTTTTTTTTAGGAAATTCAATAATGTTTTCTATAATCACAGTGTTCAAGGGTTTCCTTGTCTCCGCATCCTTTTTGGCATTTGTCTTCTGCATTTTTGACAAAAGCTCTTTTCATTCAAGTATGGTGAGGTGGCATTGTGGGTTTGATTTGCTTTTCTCAGATTAGTGACACAGGAGTTTTTCCTACCTTTCTAGGTCACCTGTGTGTCTTGTGAGAAATATCTATACATATATATTGCCTGTCTTTCAATGTATTTGTGTTTGTTGTTTATTCTGCAATTGTATTTTGGAGTTCACTTTCATATACTGTGTATCATTTCATATTGTCAACATTAGCCTCTTGCTAGATCTATAATTTGAAAATATTTACCCCATTCTTTAAATTCTTCTTCACTCTGTCGATAGTTAACTTTGCTGTCCAGAAACTTGGTTATTTAATGTAATCTTTTAGTCCATTTTTGCCCATTCCAGGGTATGAAGCATCTGCCCCGCATTTTCTTCTAATAGGTTTATAGTTCCAGCCTTACCTTAATCCCTTTTGAAGTGTAACAGGTAAGAAGTAGTAATCTAGCTCCTATATCTGCATGTGTATACCTAATTTTGCCACATCACATATTGAAAAGGCTATCCCTAAAGCTCCCCCAATTTCCTCTTGAGGATTCACATCTAATTAGTTGATAATAGTCATAATAGAGTGTCAAAATAGACTATGGGTATAATGTCAGAGTGTCTTCAGAGCATACACAAAGTCCTGGGCTCAACACCCAGCACTTGAAAAAGAAATGAATAAGTAAACAAATACATAAGGGGAGGGGGAAGGAGAGAGAGGTTAAACAGGTAGCATTTATAGGAGTTCAAAGATCAGACTTCATTCCACTCAGCTGACATTGCAGGGGGTCATAATTACCAGAGTTGGAGGAAAAACTGTAACTTTTTAAAAAGAAACCACTCTCCATTCATTCGAGAGTCTCACTTTCATCTGATCATTCCTCCCTTGAGATATTTCATTCTGTTTCTGTTTTCTTGTCTCATGCATCTCTTTCTGTTTCAAGACATGGTTTCCCCAACCTTCAAATTGTTAAATCTTCACAAGTTGCTGATAAATGTCCTTTCTGCTTGTTAACCAATACTTATTTCTGTGTGATGAAAGACATAGTCCCCAATCCAAAGCTCTCACACCAAACCAGTAAATCCCACTGGATCCTAAAAGGTCATACACTGTAAATACTAATATGTATACTGTGTCTCTTCACCAACCTGCAATGATATTAATCCATGATGCCCTTTGAGTTCCTATTACTTCTCCCTTCTAAAAATAAATGTAAAAATTATTTCTCAAGTGGTAATTCAAAAATCCCTACAAAAGTCATGGATTTAAAGTAAACTAGTCCCTTGGAAAATTAAATTACAGAACTCATTGGCATCTTTGAAATCACTTTTACCCTAACTTTGCATAAATAAGTGTGTCATAAATATTTGAGGAAAATTTCACCTACAAGACTTACACTGTACACTTTCCTCTTCCTTTGATACATGAATCAACACTGTGGAGATACAGTGCCTTGTGGTCAATTCCTACGAAATATAAACTGCAAATGAGACACTAGAGACAAAATTTATCTTTCTGAATTCTGCTGTTTCAAAGTTTAAAAAAAAAAAAAAACACCCATACTCTGCTAGGGAGGCATGGTGGTCTATGAGCATCCTGAACTTCAAGGAGTGAGAAGTTCCTCAGAAAGGCATGGCTCCAGAACAGTTTTTATTTCTTCTCATTTCCAAAAAAAAAAGCATTCATCTGCTGCCTGAGAACGTGACTTTCTCACTCCCTCTTGACACCTTTCTATTTATGAAAATGAAAATGAGAAAGAACAAAGTGCTCTGAGTACTGAAAGCCACGCTTTAGCTTTAAGGAAAGAGGTTGCAAGAAGAGGTACATGATCTGTATGGGAGAAGGGCTGGAAGCCAGAGTGGGCCAGGCTTTTGTTAAAAACCACTGCCATTCACTCTAGGCATGGCTAGAAAAAAGAGACAAAATACAATAAACACAGAACACAGGTGTAGCTAGAGTTTTCCTGCCTGGCCCACAGTCAGGACAAATCTTTCACCCGCCAGTCCCACAGCTGCTCAGACCCAACAAAGTAAACACAGAGACTTATATTGCTTAAAAACTGTATGGCTGTGGCAGGCTTCTTGCTAACTGTTCTTATATCTTAAATTAATCCATTTCGATAAATCTATACCTTGCCACGTGGCTGGTGGCTTACTGGCATCTTCACATGCTGCTTGTCATGGTGGCGGCTGGCAGTGTCTTCCTTACTCAGCCTTCCACTTCCCAGAATTCTCCTCTCTCTTTGTCCTGCCTACTTCCTGCCTGGCCACTGGCCAATCAGTGTTTTATTTATTGACCAATCAGGGCAATTTGACATACAGACCATCCCACAGCACACAGGGGAAATATACTCAGGGCTAACGACATTTTATTTTACTTCCCTGCACATGTAAACAAAGATGGTCTAGAGATGTGCCTCAGTAGTTAAGCCCTTAGCTAGTCAGACCAAATGTGTACATGAGGAACACTCCTGGAGCTAAAGTATGCCTTCATTCTATCGGTTTGCAGTTTGAGGCTTGGAGGTTTGTGGCTTGATTTATTTTATTTCTGTTTTGTTGTTGTTGTTGTTGTTTGTTTGTTTTGTTTTGGTCTGAAGTTTGTTGTTGTTTTGTTGGTAATTTGTTAGTCTGTTTGTCTTAAATATTTTAGCAGAGTACATTAAGCACATACTGAGTTTAAATCAGTATTTTGTTACAAGCTGGAAGACCACCTTATAATACATCACAGGGTTCTGTGAGTGATATTAGTACGCTAATCTTGTCAATATGCTCAAACAAAAGCATAAAACACCATATTTTAGTACAGATAAGACACTATCAAAAATACTCTTTATATGTTAAATTCTGATAAAGTACATAAAGGTAATTTGGTCAAATAATTTGAGGACTAATTGATGAACTACAAGTTTTCCTTAAATTAGAAGTCTTAAACCATCATTTTCTAAAAATAGGAGAATGAAAAGGGAGACATAAAATGTCCTCTGCTTTTCTTGGAAACATTCAGATAGAAGTGCTTCTGAAGTGTGTGTGTGTGTGTGTGTGTGTGTGTGTG